TTTTTAAAATTTTTAAATATTTATTTAGTTTTGAGAGAGAGAGCGCGCGCATGCGCAAGCAGAAGAGGGGCAGAGAGAGAGGGAGACAGAATCCAAAGCAGGCGCCAGGCTCTGAGCTGTCAGCACAGAGCCCGATGTTGGCACTGAACCCACAAACCACAAGATCATGTCCTAAACCAAAGTTGGAAGTTTAACCATCTGAGCCACCCAGGCACCCTCTCATAATAAATTCTGATTCTATTCTTTGTCCCAACATAACAATAGCAATAATTATTATGTGAGATTTGACTATCTGCAGGCACCATTCTAAGCAGCTTATGTATATTATTTAATTCTCAAAAAGACTCCATGAGGTTGATACTATAAGATAGAATAATACTTGCTATTATTACTATTACTACTATTATTTAATGTCAAATGGCAGCTAGTGATTCATTAGAGATTTCAAATAGAGTATTTTGTAAACAAAATGTATCAGAACATTTCATTCACTGAAAATTTCCCTTTTTTTCCTTTTATAACCCCAGTCACTTATATATTTATACAATGAAATTATTGCGTGAGAAGTGATTTCTTTTCGTGTGGGAATAAGTCCCGGTAGTCCCCTGAGTGTGAGGAAGACCCAGCCGCTAGCCATCGGTTTCCCAGGAAGCCTGTCTGCGAGCAGGTGGTTCACCCGGGAAGTGCACCCGCCAGGGGGTCAGGGAAGGAGGATCGGGCGGAGGGACAGTACCTGGAGCTGGAATGGCCCATCACAGATGCCCAGATGCTCGAAGGCCGAGAGTCTGTTTCTGGGGAGAGACTGAGGCCGGATCCACCTGCCTGTATTCTTCCTAGCTGGGGGAATGAATCAGAGACGGAGCAGAGCCGAATGAGACAGAGAAAATGTACAGTGATGTTTTCCAGGCAGACCCAACAGAAAAGAAATTGGTTTTAGGCATAAATCAGAAAGGATGGAAGAATGGATAAGGATCATTCTTAAATGATCCAAAACCTCTAGAAGAAAAATCGGTGCACGGTAAAGGGTTTGTTGAAACCCAGAACATGAGCCAGGTTCACATCCCAGGCCCTCCAGGCAGAGACCAGGGCAGGCAGGTGACAGCCGTGTGGAAGGTGGAAATCTGCTTAGAAGCCGTCAGATCTCCACAGCCCATGCCAGCTGTTTCCCGCCCTCAATCCCAGAGAAAGGCATCTGCGGATTTTTTTATGCGGGGAGGACTATTTTTTGGAGACGGTTGGAGAAAGCTGCTGGGCTGGGCCCCACCAGGTGGAGGTAGGCTGGGGGAGCCAAAGTAAGGGTTAGATGAACCTGTACACATTGGATGGAGACTTCCCCACCTGCAGCTCTCTTCTCCCATTTGGTTCTCAGGAACCTGGGAGCACGGCCTTCGCTCTCCCAGACAGATAAGCTGCACGTTTCCTGGGAAGTCTGATCCAAGGAAATGTGCGTGTTTCTCCATCTAAAGCGTTCGGGCAGGCCCCCTTCCCAGGCCACTCGCAGCCTTGCTTACGTGCCCCATTGTAGTAATTTCTACTACAGACATTCAGTCAAGAATGCACAGGCTTATCGTGTGAAAAGTAAGAGATGCACTAACCAAGAAGAAAAAAATGACTTGAAGAAAACAGGGCCCATGCAGGGAGCAAATAAAACATGACAAATAAAAGCTCGGCAAATATCCCCACGACAAAAGAATATATTGCCACCGTGAAATGAGAACGGTCAGTTCAAAACAACAGCAACAACATTCGGAGTACATGAAAGAGCTCTTGGAAATTAAAATGTGATAAGAAAAAAAAACTTCCATAAAATCATTACACAATAAAACTCCCCAAATCCTCCAGAAAGTAGAGCAAAGAGATGAAGTGGCATAAAGTAGAAGAGATGAGATAAGAGAGTTAAAAAGCAGGCCCCAGGGGTGGCTCAGTCGGTTAAGCTGTCTGACTTAAGCATCTGACTTTGGCTCAGGGCATGATCTCATAGTTTGTGAGTTCGAGCCCCACAGCGGGCTCTGCACTGAGTGTGAAGAGCCTGCATGGGATCCTCTGTCTCCCTCCCTCTCTCTGCCTCTCTCTCTCTCTCTCAAAAATAAATAATCATTAAAAAATAAAGTAAAATTAAAGGGCAGGGCCCAGAAGCCCAACAACTGAAGATGAGCGTCATGCACAGAAAGAAATCTGAAGGATAAGAATTTCCAAACTAGAATTCCATGCTCAGCCAAACAAATTAAATATGAAGTAGAATAAATGCATTTTTAGGCATGCAGCATCTCAGAAATTTGCTCCCATGAGCTTTTGCTTATGAAGATACTAGATACCTTGGTCCGCCAAACCCAGAAAGGACATATAGGCTATTCCTCAATAGGAAAGCCACCGGAGGGAAGTCGCAGGTGTCCCTGTGGGAAGGGGCTGTCAAGTTGGTAGCTGTTTGCCAAGCAGAAAAGCAATAGGCCCAGATCATGATAGACTCCAGGAGATAAAGCTGATAGACATCTCCATTCTGCTGAAACGACTGGGAGGTACTTGGCGTTGAAGTCATGAGTACATAGGAAGCCGTTAGATAGTGATCAGCTCTAGGAAGACCTGAGTGGTGAGGGAGGGAGATCACAAGTTGACTGCATGGTCTAAGAATTGTTTTGACAACATCTTAATACAGGGAACTGTGAACTTACGGCCATGCAGGAGTGGGGGTGCATATGGGCTGAAAAATGAGTATTTTGTCTTCCCGTGTCCTAGGAGGAGGTCTATAAAGATAAAAAGTGAAAAATCAAGAAAAGCGTAAAACAGATTATTTCCAGAAATGTAGCTAAATACAGAAACAGCAGAAAGAGATTCAAGTATTTGCCTCCGAGGGGGAGAAATTGGGGCTGGGGGAGGTGGAGGAATTTTAAAAAATATCTTGTGGAATTATTTGATCATTAACATATTTGCATGTGTAACTCTGAAAAAAATCTATTAAAAGGATGGACAAGGGGAAAAGAAAGTATGGATTTTATCAGACAGAATAGTACATTTATTGGCCTAAATAAACTGCCTTATTCTTTCTGAAATGACTTTAGTTATAAATCAGTAAACTAGCTTCTGAACACATTTGGAAGAGCTTCTTATTTGGATGAAATTGTCAAATATATTCTCACTATTAACTTTCTAAAATGTTGATCTAAATGAACGTTAGATTTCTATTCTTGTAATCTTAACTATAAATTCTCTCTTTTGTAGAATATAATTCTGGAAAATGTATACTTCAATAAATGATTAGTCTACTAGTGAGGTATCTTATTTGAAAAAAGAAAATATCATACAGTAAAAATGTCGGAGCTGCAGACCTCATTAATTCAGTTTTTTTTCCGTATTCTATCTAGGAGAAGGTGAAGTTTACCTTTGAATGCCTAAGAAGAAATGAATATTGTAAGCATCATTATAAGGCTATCTTGGTCATTTCTTTAAAAGAAACTGAAGATTGCAGTGTATAATATCTTATTTAATAGATTTTTATTAAACAAATATATATTGAGTTTATTCGTGTAATAAATGCTTGTTAAGTATCTGTTTTGTTCAGGCATTCTATTACATAGTGGGAACACATAGCCGAAATACATAGTTCTTGCTTTGAGGGCGACAGGTGAGAAAGGAAATTGACAGAAAATTAGCAGTTCAGTGAAAAGGACAGATAACAATTGAAGAGTTCCACAGAATACGCTAGCAGCCCAGGAGATAGTATAGACTTCACACAGGCAATGTCAGGAGAGCTGAACTTGAAGATAGATGAGAGTAAAGTTGATGAGTTGATGGGGAAAAGTCCAGAAAAGCTGCTTGAGAAGTTGTAAAGGTATCTTGTGTTCTGAACCTACTAATAGCTATTGTTATTAATAGTAGCCAAAATTTGTCATACTTCTGTACTCTGGGCGCTAAGCCAAGCTCTTTACATACAAAATCTTGATTTACTCTTCATAACTACTCTATCCTCGTTTTTAAGGCTTCAGGCTGGAGGATAGCATAGTACAATCTGTGTAGAAACGTTATTCTAACACTCGAGAAAATGCTGCTGTCAAGTAAAAAAAAAAAGATACAAAATGGGTTATGTAGCTACTTAACAAAATTATATATGATAGAGCGAGAAACAAGATTGGAAAGATTAGAGGCAGCCCAGTATTTTATCCTTTTCGCCTTCGTTGAAAGTTTCTAAAATCTGCATTTGTCGATTTAAAAAATGAGAACAATGTGTTGTTATAGAGGAAGCAGGGAAAGGGGAAAGGGGAGAGATCCCGGGAGGAGGGAGGGTCAGAGAGAGAGGCCTGGAGGGGCAGAGTGAGCGAGCCTTCCCCGAAAGAAAGGCGATGCGCAGGCCAGGTTGGAAACACAACCACAACGGAGAGCCTCTCGCCGCGGTGGTCCGGGCGTGAGATGGCTATTCTTCAGCAGAGTAGCAAATGGAAGAGTAAGGTATTTACACAATAAATCCAACGTTAGCGGCCCCCGGTTGGATGCTTAGAAGGCGCTGCCCATGGACCAGGAAGGCAAGCTAAGTCGGGCCGGGTGGAGAGAGGCAGCGACCAGGAAGGGCAGTGCCCAGAGCTGTGATGCTGCGATTGCCCCGTGGTCTCACTCGGCGCCAGGAGTCCCTGTCACTTCACGTGGTGCATCAGTGGGTCACACTCCTTCTAAGGCAAAGGGATGGTTGCACGGCCTTGGTCACCAAGCTGATCCAGAACCTCAGGTTCTGGTTCTGGACCCAGTGAAACTTTCTTGCCGTGTATTCATCACACCCCAGAACCTCCCCGGTGTGAGCTCCGGGAATGTAAAAAAGAGCGCAGTGAGGCCTTGAAAGTACCGGGCGATGCGTCCCCAGACCGCACCGCCGGTGCCCTTCCTGTGCACGCCGCGCACGTGCCCGCAGGAGTCTGTGGATCAGAACCTTAAAGTAGCGGCGTCGCTGTACTGTGCGCGCTCCCCCGGCTCGAGGCGCCTTGTAACCGGGCCCCTGTGCTGTCTTCACCCTCCAGGGCTCTACGACACCTTCCTAACCAACGACGACCCCGAATGCTGTGATGTCAGGAGAGAGCAGCGCGCCAGCAAGCCCGCCCGAGGCACGGGGGGGACCGGCGGCCCGCGTCACAGGACGTCCCCCGCAGCGTCCTCGGCGAGCCGCCTGTGCAGCCCCAGACTCAAGCTGTGTGTCCTGGTACTGATTCTCCTGCACACAGTGCTCGCGGCCTCGGCGGCGCACAACGGCACGGCGCTGGGCGTCGGGGGCGTCCCCGCGCTGGACCACGGCTCGGCGCGCGAGGAGTAGCCGGCACCCCGGGGCGCCCCCGGCACCCCGGGGCGCCCCCGGCACCCGCCCGCTGCCGCCCGGACACTCTGGGTGCTCTTACCCTCCAGCCGCTCCTCGCAGGGCCTTTAGGGTAAAATCGAAGAAGATGGGCCTGGATCCAAACGAGGACACAAACTCAGCTTTTTATTGACTAAAAGGCTGGAAAGTGACTTAAATTTCTCACACCATTTTATACACTGTGTTTTAATGTTTGGAGGTTTTATTTGCTTTCCTTTGATTTGGGGTTTACCTGGTCGTTTATTTTTTTGCACTTGTTAATACAGGATTTATTTTTGGGGGATGGTTTCTCAGAGGTAAACTGAGTCTTCACTGTCTCTTTCTCTCTCTCTCTGTCTCTCTCTCTCTCTCTCTCTATATATATATATTTCTAGTCACTGTGTGTGTTCATCAGATAGTTCTGTCTCTATGTCCTGTCAGTTTCTATTAGCGGAATGATTGCTATGACCTCGAGGTATAGCAAAATACAACAACAAAAAAATCATAAAAAAATTAAAAAAGACAAAAAAAAGAAAACAACAAAAAATAAAAAAAAATAAAAAAAATAAAAAAACCCTAACTCTTTCCTCCCGCTTCCGGAGGCGACTGCCTTCCCCGCCCCCTCCCACCGCATCCCCGCCCCCTCTCATCCCCATCCTCCACCTCATCCCAGCCCCGCCCTCAGCCACGCCCCCTCCCTGTCCCGCCCCGCCCCCTCTCGTTTCCAGCCCCGCCCTCCCCGGGCCCCGCCCCTCTCCGCCCCGCCCATTCCCGAGGCCCCGCCCCGGCCGTCCCCCCAGGCCCCGCCCCCAGCAGACACGCCCGCTTGCTTCCGTCTGTGCAGCCGCAGTGCGGGCGCGCACGCTCCGAGGTCCCCGGGCCGCCGTCGCGACCCCGCCGGGAGCAGAACGAGGGGGTCCTTTTTAGCCGAACAAACAAGTGCTCTCCATGGTAGGCGGAACCGGACACTGAACACATTTTTATGTTGAAAACAAAACAAAAGCAAAGCAAACCACCTTGCACTACGTGGCTCCCGCCCCGTCCCCCGCGGCCCTGTCCCCCGCGGCCCCGTCCCTGCCGCCGCCGCCGGGGGTCGGGCGGCCGCGAGCCCGGCCGAGTCGGGGCGCGCGCTCCGGCCTTCGCAGGGGCCGCGGAGGGACCGAGGACACGAATCTGGGTTTCTTTGTCCCCCTCTGTGGTCGCGGAGGAGACCGCAGAGATGCTCCGACACCTGCAGCATACAGAATATATACGATTTCACCCCAGTTCTGCCCCCACCTGTGATTTCGAATTATTCCGGGTATAAAGTGTATGCAATTCTGCATTATCACAAAAGAACTTGTTTAAAAAAACAAATAGGTTAGCCATTTTCATTCAAGTGCAAAAACTCTGTCACTGGAACACGCTCTAGGTAGTTGACAAAAAGAGAAGAAATCAGATCGCTCTGTTTGTATTTTTTCTTTCCGTGGGAACATTTCACCTGCTGAGTGTACATGAATTTGCTTTCTAAAAAAAAAGGCTTTATGAGTTTACAGTAGAATCAGTGGAAGGAAGAGTTCATAAGGGCTGTTTTTAAAAAAACAAACAAACAAAACAAATAAATTTAAAAAAAAAAACCACTTTACATTCCTTCCTATTCTCTAACTACACGTGGGAAGTGCACTTCAGATGTTTGCTGTGTAGCCGGGAGACGAAGGAAAACCATAGTAAAGGTCCTCGTAGTGAACAAAATTTAGTTATTAACTTTATAGCTATGAAATTCCCCAGGCATTTGTTTTTGTTCAAACAAACTTTAATCTCTGCATCATACTTAACCCTGCGACATGCGTACAGTATGCATATTTTGTTTTGAATAAAAAAGATGTTTTGTTCCAGTCTGTTAAGAATATTCAAAAAATAATAAAGGTATTGCTTAATAAAATCGCTAGAACTGTTTAGCAGTACATGCACAAATATTTTACTAGATTCTTCGTTTTAATAGTGTTTTGTTGAGACTGAAAATCCTAAAATGGTCTGCGCAAATACAAAAGAAAAAACCGCTAAAAGTGCAAAAATTCTCCAGTTTTTGTCCCTTTTTTAAAAATTGGTTTTTTAATGCAAATTCCAACACACGTACACACACGTGCACGCGCACACACGCTCGCACACCAGGCCCACTATTTTAATTTACAGAAACACGGTGCTATTTCTGGGCCCACAAGAGGGTGGAAGAGCCTTGGGAACATTGAGTTGCTGCAAGTGTTAACCGTTGGGAGAAATGTGCGTGTTTAAAGCCCATCGAGCTGTGAACCACAGAGTTCAGTGAAGTGGGGGGGGGGGGGGGGGGGGGGGGGGGGGGGGGGGGGGGGGGGGAGGTGACGGAAGTAAGGGGCTGACTCATAAGAAAGGATTTAGTAGGTGAGCTCTTTTTCAACTGACCCCTTAAAGGCTTTAAGATATATGGCCAGGAACAAGTGTGGCCTCACCTCCATCTCCCTCTGCTGGGCAAAGGCCAGGCCACGGTCCATGTCTTCCGTGTTCCTCGCGCTCTTCTTTGTGCCCTGGAACTTTCCATCCTGTGGGGAAATGACAGATCAACACAGATGCAGGCTCTGCCCACTCTCCTGACGAGGAGTTACTATTTCAAGACACCGGGAAAAACGTTTTAAAAAAAAAAAAAAAGAAAAGAATCAGTATCCCATAACAAACAGGGTTTCATTTCCTCTTAATATCTTTTGCAAGTGGTTAAAATTCTTTTCAAATATAGAGGGATTTGGAAGATTGCACTGCACCCTGTTTAACTTTAGTTTGGGGAGAATGGCGGCCAAGAGGGAGACCAAAACCCAGCACTACTTTACCTGACAGGTAAGCCTTCCTGAAGACAATTGCAAGGAGGAACAGCAAAGCATCTAATTGTACCATGAAACCATAATTTGGGGGAAAGGATGGTGTGGAGAGAAGGGGAACCAGATATCTCCCACGTGTCAGCCAGTGTGGAAGCTGTCTCTCATTCCGGTAGAATTATTTTCTTTTTTCTTTAAATTTTTTTAATGTTTATTTATTTTTGAGACACAGAGAGACAGATCATGAGCGGGGGAGGGCCAGAGAGAGGGAGACACAGAATCGGAAACAGGCGCCAGGCTCTGAGCTGTCAGCACAGAGCCTATGCGGGGCTCGAACTCCCAAACCATGAGATCCTGACCTGAGCCGAAGTCGGACGTTTAACCGACTGAGCCATCCAGGCGCCCTAGAATTCTTTTCTTGCCATATACATTTATCCTTATTCTGTGAGCATCATCTCAATGCCCAGGATTTATTACTGTAAATGTGTAAGCACAACCCTGTGGTATTTCCACCAACACAGGGAATGGAAGCGGCTTTTCCTGGGGTCAGCCAATGGGTCCAAACAGGCAATGGCTCCTTCACGGAGTCAGGAAACAGCCGCTGAAGATGCAAATCTCATCATACTCACGGGTCATTTAAAGTAGTGTTTCTACTTGATCAACTTGCATGTGTTAATTCTGACACAGAAATTTCAGACCCGGCACCTCTGTAATCATCATACCATTGTGTTTTTCTCCTGGTGGATATCTACTGCATAGTGGATAATGAATTTTGTCATTAGAACAATTATTTCTGAAAGCAAATTGAAAATCAAGCAAATACTACTTCATCCACAAATGTGCAGAACTGATTTCCCCGGGTTTATTACTGTCTTTATTTCTGCAGTAGAGAAATTCCAGCTTGTGGAAGCGTTTGATTCTCCAAAGCCAAATGTCAAGTAACACGGTGTTATTCCTTATTACATTTGCTTTCAGTGAAGCTTTACATCGACTGTTCTTTCATTAAAAAGATAGTATCATTCTCCTCTCCCACAATATGGTGAGTGAAAATTGTTCGTTTAAGTGGCATCATTAGAAACAAAAGAATGTAGCTCCTCACCAATGAACTGGTATCAGTAAGTATGAGAACCTGTAGTCATTAAAATAAGAGGAGGCAGGCATCAAGAGGGTAAAGGAAGACAAGGAAGGAAGGAGAGAAAGAAAGAAAGAGAGAGAAAGAAAGAAAGATAGAAAGGAAGGAAGAAAGAAAGACAAAGGAGGGAGGGAAGGAGGGAAAGAAAGAAAAAGAACAGAAAGGAAGGAAGGAAGGAAGGAAGGAAGGAAGGAAGAAAAGAAAGAAGGAAAGAAAGAAAGAAAGAAAGAAAGGAAGAAAAGAAAGAAAGAGAAAAGAAGGGAGGGAGGGAGGGACGGGGGGAGAAAAGAAAATAAACATGGATTTTTATATGAATGAATAAGAACATTATTTTTACCAGGAAAAAAATAAATATAAAAATAAATAAAAAATAAAATAATATGAATTTTATTTCATAATATGAAAAAAATAAAAATAAATGAATGGTGTAATCAGCTCCGTGTGCCAAAGAGATGACATTTGATACCCGGATAACGTTAAAACATTGATAAGTCTGAGTACCATGTTCTTTCCCAGTAACAGCTAAATTGGTTAGTGGAAGAATTCAGTCACAGACATGAAAGGTGCATCTTACTTCTAGTAGAACTGCAGACAGGCGTTTGATTATACACACATGCAAATGTACATATAAGGAGAAAGGCTATATGGCTATAGCCTACCTTTATAGGTGTATAATATATGTATATACATAGCTTACAAGTAAAACTTTAACCACAATTATTTGGTCCATGATAACATGCACATAACACTATAATGAATGGTTCCTATTTATTTGCTGAAGCTTGAGCAGTGTGCTCATTTAAGAACTATACCTACTTTGGTGTAGAAAACAGACTATCAAAATGTCTCCATTAATGAAAGAATAACAATTTTTAAGTAACCAGAGCTTCTCTATCTTTCAAGCATTAATGCTATTTAGAAAACAATGGATATGACAAGCAGGTATTGAGTGGTGGTGATTAAGAAGTCTTTAAATGGGAGGAAGGGGGAAAAAAGTGAATCGAACATGAAACAGTATCTTCACAACATTTAGGAGAACTTTGAAACTGCTTCAGAGCCTAGAAATTCTCCAAATCATGATGAAATGGGTAGATAATCCTCTTGGACTTGGAATGAAACTTAAGGCATGAAACCAAATATGAAAGACGTTCTTAGTTGTTGGGGCACCGGGGGAGGTGGGGGCTCAGTCGGTTAAGCGTCTGACTCATGATCTCTGCTCAGACCATAATCTCATGGTTCATGAGACAGCTTCATGCTGACAGCATGGAGCCTGCTTGGAATTCTCTCCTTCTCTCTCTCTCTGTCTCCCTCTCCCTCCCCCTTCCCTGCTTATGCTCATAGTCCTCTCTCTCTCTCTCAATAAATAAATAAATAGACAGACAGACAGACATTTAAAAAAAAAATAGATGTTCTTAGCTCTTGACACACTTCAGCGCTGTGTTTACCTGGCACAAAACATTCAGATTAAAATCACAAATCATAAACTGCCTGCTGTGTCATCCAAGGTCACTAAGGTAAGTAGCACCAGGCTAGAGCTCCAACCACATCTGATAGCCAATTCCAAACACTGGT